CTTTTTACATGCATTCTGTAATCCCTTACTCATCCACAGTTTCCCACTGTAATTCCTCGTTTTTATACTGCTTACGAGGACAGTTCCTGTCATATACTTTCATGAATATATTTAAAAATTGCTCATATGCTTTATCTAAGTCTTCCTCTCTGCAAACTGATTATTGAGATATCTGAGATATTGTGTTAATGAGAATGGGACAGACGAACAGCCTGATAACGTCTTCAGCCGCAGCTGTCGCCAGCGTGGAGGCATGCAGCACAGGAGCATCTAAAATGGTTCTGATCAGTTTAAATTAGGTGTGAACTTGAGAGCATTATCTCCTCTGTACTGTTTTTGTCACTCAGAGATTCCCTCCAAACGTGTCTGCACTACTTTGAATAATAATTTGTCCGATGTGGTTTTTTGATTCAAAATTACCTGGTTAGAAATTGTTAAACTTACATCTATGCCTCCACCATCATGGATCCAGAATCTATGAATGTGTAAACATTTTTCATTTCAAAGGTTTATCTTCATCACATGGAACATTAAAATGCTGCTAAACCTGTCATCATGTCAATTATCTGACTATATAACACACTAGATTTTTGCTGCTGCATAATGAGCACTTTAACTTAGATATAAATATTTACAAATTACATGCTCAGTTCATAAAATGTAGTGTCTGTGCTCTCTGGACCTAGACTGGAATAAGAGGGCTTTCTCACACATTTTAAAAGCTTTGTTTTATCCATGCAGGATACACGGCTGTATAAGTAAAATATTAATCTACAAAGTAAACAATAGCTACAGTAGTACAATAAGTGTAAAGTTACAGTATTTCCATCTGAACTTTAGTGGGCTACAAATATAAAGTTGCAGAAAAGTACCCCCAAACTGGTCTCTGGTTATTTCACAGTGATACAGCGGTGATGTGTGATTATTCTAGAAAAGAACATTTAAACAAGAATGTTTGTAAAAGTAGCTGTTAATTCAGATTCATGTTCATGGTATTACATCTGCTATACAAAAAGCACCAGAGTCTGCCCCTCCCCAAAAAACGTAACTGTGTGAGGACTGAGCTGTGTGAATCTGCAAGCATTTTGTTGGCTTCTGATTTGTTTGTGTGTTTGTGCATAAGTTTTTAACCTGCAGATGTAAATTAGCTTGATGCTAACTCTGGTACATCAAACAGTCATATACAGTATAAAATAAATAAGACATTACAGTTATGTTTATCACAAGGACTTCTAGGAAACACATCACACTCTGTATCCACATATCAATTAAAAGTTATCTGTCAGGCCACCAAGTTCATCGTCCCTCTCACTCACCTGTTCGTATTTCCCCAGCTCCCTCGATTCCTCCTTCCTCCTCCTTTCTTCTTGTTTGGTCCTCGTCTGGCTTGTTCTTCTTGCTTTTCTCTCATCTGTTGCTGCTGCTTTCTGTTGTTCTGTCTTTACTTCTACCTTCTCTGCCACTTCCTTTTCTGCACCCACCCACTCTCTCATTACCACACAAACATACACACTCATTTTCACACACACATACACTTTCTATTCCCCTCATTCAAGGTTATGGGTCCCCATTAGACTACACGCCACGGGCTTCAGCATTGCGTATCTGTGTATTTATTTATCTGTGCCTGTGTGTGTAACTGTGTGTGTGTTGAGCCGTCAGCAGTGTTTCACAGTGGAGTTGTACAAACTGATCCATGCCTTTTCCTCTCCAGCTGTCTGATGAACAGCAGCAGGATGCAATCCTACTGGGACACAGCCAGGAAGGCTAACCTGCTAGCTCTATTAGCAGTAGCCACAGAAATAAAGTTAATAGAATAGGCACCACTGCTCACCACAGTGATCCTTCTCTCTGTATTAGATGAGAAGATAATCACACTGTGAGGTGCCGTTTGTGTGCTGCTAAAACTGGATTAAAAATCTGCCATTGGTTTTTGGGCCTGTTAGCTGCTACTGTCTCACCTTGTTTTTCATTAGAATCACTCCCTCCCATTAATGATGTTCACAAGTCTAAAATCTTCTGCCTTTGGTCAACAACATGCACAACACTTTGCATTAAGAAGAAAAACAAAAGTAAAGTAACAACAGAAAGGATAACACAACACCGTGGCCAGGACAACACAATAGATTGGTTTCCATCCAACAGTTTTGTGCACCCTGGAAGCACTCATCAGGAACCAATAATTTTGATATGCTAATGCTGCTCTTGTCAAAGTGTCAGTCAGGATTTAGGAAGCAACAGAGTGATGCAACCAAGCAGTAGGCTCAAATGATTTGTCTTGCAGAACACAGTGTATCAAACAAATGGGTTTGGTTCTGAATTGGCTTACTGTAGTTAATGGTGTCCCTCAAGGTTCTGTGCTAGGCCCACTACTAGTTTCTCTCTCTCTATATATATAAGTAACACTGGAATAAACACAAATGGAACCCACACACTGCTACACAGCATTCAATTGCTGTTATTGTCTGGTTTATCTCTAAACGCTGCCTGCAAACCAAATTTCCCTTATGAACAATAGAAGCAGAATGACTGAAGGAATTAGACCGGGGAGAGTGAGTGAACCACAGCAGACACCGTCCTGCTGACTTCAGGGGCTCCCTGTGAAGCAGTTTCATTAGTTTCTATGACAATTCAGTGGCAGCATGGAAAACAATTCACCGTAGACTCACTACTGAAATACTCTCATTCATCTGCTAATGACACACGGAGAGTTAATACTGTCATCTGTGTGATAACGGGACATGGAGTGAGGACAGAGAGATGAGAAGAAGACCGAGAGTTGTGAGCAGACAGGAGGTTGGAGAGGAATACGATAAATAAAGGCATGGTGATGAAATAATAATGTAAAAGGGACTCAAAGGAAGAGGTGAGTGAGAGTGAAGAAGAGAGAGAAAACAGAAAGGAGTCAGAAAGATGCTGAACTTTTATTCTGTGATGTTTCAAATACTCAACCTGCACCAGACGTTCATTTTTGTAGTGATTTTACCTTTTGGTTGTTAACACAACAGAGTAATGCTACAGGATAGATACATAATCTATTGTACATACACCAATATATCAGTTACATTGTTTCTTATAACTGTATTGTCTAAATTATGTATTTATGTTCAATTCTTGGGGAGTAATTAGTTACATGTATTTAAATGACAATAAATGTAATCAGTTACTGAGACAAATTGTTACTAAATTACTGTCACTAATCAAAATGTTGATACTTTTAAAAGGTTACAGCTGAATATACTTTTTAAATACAACATTCATTCGGTGGTTTTGCATCTTGGCACCGTGCAAGCATCTCCATTTAGCATATTTGTGGACACAATTGAATTTAAATGTAATGTTATTCATTTTTTTTTGTCAAGTATGTTACACACACAAGGAATTTGTTTCTGGTACAAAACAATGGCAACCATCTGTGGCACCAACTCACACACACACACACACACAATGATGCCGCTGCTCTGGCCATCGGGAGAAACTTGGGGTTCAGTGTCTTGCCCAAAGACACTTTGACATGTGAACTGGGGAGAACGGGAATCAAACCGCTGCCGATTCTGGTTAAGGGACGACCGCTCTACCCCCTGAGCCACAGCTGGCTCGGGGTAATAGGTTACCTTACTTTGATGAAGCCATTAGAATATAGCTACATTACTTATTTTTAACAGGGCAACTAGTCATCTGTAACCTAATAAACCTCCCAATACTGTTTACAGTCCAAGCTATGTGTCGGTTCCTGATTGTTTATAATCTCACACTGTAATCTGTATTTAGGTTTTTGACTTTTTGAGTGCCCTGTTACAATAACTTCATTGTACACATTCCTGTGGTTTATATGCAGATGATGACAAACTTAAAACAGCTTAAAGAGAAAGCATGATGGAAAACAAAAAAGGAGCTCTGAGACAGAGGAGGGTGATGGTGGAGGTCCACCGCTGTTAAATTACTAAACACTGTTTTTGTTTGTCATTGGAACCCAGAGCGGTTAGCTCTGTTGCTTCACAGCAAGAAGGTTCTGGATTTAACACTTAATCATAAACAGAGAATAATGTTGGGGCAGTGACTCCACCAGTTGATCCTGAGTTATGAAACATTTAGTTTAATGGACAGAAAATTTATTCAGCAAGAACTTTAAACGATTCATCATTTTAAGCAGTTCTTCATGAAAATGTACCAGAGATTTGCTGGCTTTTAAGGTGAACATTTATCTCTGGGTTTTGTCTGAGCAAACAACCCATCTGTTGCATACATCATAACAATGACTGTCTCTGAACATAAATGACCAATTTCTCAAAATATTACAGCTTTTGTCCAATGTGATTTAAATTTTCTTATATGGTGGCACAGACAAAAGACAATAATAAATTTAAATGTGAGCAAAGAAACATCTGGCTATAATGCATTCAGGTGAACAGATGTTACAGTACAGTCCCACTGACTCTTGAAAGTGGTGATAAACAGAAACAGACTCTTAATACTGTCATACACTTTGTTCATGGACACTTCGCTGGCTGTCTGTCTCATCTTGGTCCTGTGTTTGGATATACAAAAACTCAAAATGTGGTGGTATTTTCTTACAATATACATTTAATTCTGACTTTAAACCCAAACTTAAGTATCAAAATAAAGGTGGTGAATGGGCCAGGTTGTGGATGTTAAACTGTGAATCTGCAACAAGTAAATCCAGCATCAGATACGTGTAGTGGAGCAGAAAATAAAGTGCTTCTCACTGAAATGAAGGAGTGGAGACAGAACTATGCAGGGCCGATGCAGGATAAACACTCAGAATGTTGCTGGATGCAGGTTGGAGTAAAAACCGATATGGCAACGACCTCTAGTGGCTTCTGTGTGGAACAGTCTCCACTACTTAATGTGCAGTTTCTGAGGTTTTCGGGTTATAGATGTAACCTCACAGTCAGCTGGTCATCCAAATGTCTCTGAACAGACATCAAGCAGATGTGTGTATTTTCAGTTTGGAGGATAAAACCCCACTTACTCTTTGTTGGTCTTTATTGGACACTCTCTCCATCATCTCATGAGAGTCACTTCCGCCCTGTAAAAATTTTATACTGTCAGTAACGTTCTCACCTAAGGATATCGAGTCTCCACAACGCAACTGTGTAAACACATTTACATTCCCACAACATCTGTAATACCAGGTCTCTCACACACAAAAGTAGCTTCAGGAAGTGTTCAGATCCCTTCACCTTTTGCACCTTATTGTGTCGTAGATTAATTTTAAATTGATAAAACTCAAGTTTTTGACACTAAACTGGTACATACTGTATTACACACTCAAGGTAAAATTTGAGTTTTTGAAAACAAATGCTGAATTATTATTTTATACAAAGGCTGAAACTAATGGAGTAAAAAACCAAGGGCAAACTGTACCACTGCATTATGAGCTTCTAAACAAAGTATTTTTCTCCTGAAAACTGGGTTGTACTTCTAAAAAGGCACCATTGCATTGCTATGCATTGTGTAGTATTGAGGTTCAGTCGACTGTATTTGGAGTGGTGGCAGAGCCATGTTTGTTTATGTGCATGTGCAACATCTTCCTACTGATTTGATTTAGTAACAAAAAGTAAACGAGATCATTACAATAAAAACTGTGTTCAAAACCATTGCACTTTTTCAGGGCACAGTTTTTTTTATGGTACAAATACTGCATTCTTATTAAGTATGTATCAGTGATGCAAGCACTCTGTCAGAAAAAAGTGACAATGATGCATATTAACGATTCTCAGCAGAAGAAACGACACTTGGAAAAAGAATACAACAACAACTAGGCGTTAATTATTTGAGTTACCTCATCGGCTTCTGTTTGGTCAATGACCTCTTCAACAATGTCCAAAGTTTCCCCACATCCCTTGGTCAATGTACTGATTAACTTTTTTAGACAATATGCTTTTTTGTTTTTCTTTCATAGCCATCCATACGACATCTTCCCCCACTTCCAGGATCAGCTCGTGTGCTAGAACTCCTCTCTTGCAGTACCTCAGACAGCAGTGATCAGCGCAGATCATCCAGGATGACAGGAACAGCATCCCCACGACAGTGATGGCCAAAAGTAAAGATATGCCATACAGCTGGAAGACAAGCATCAAAGTGCAGGTTGTATCATCACCACAAGGGGGAAAGGTCTTCAAGAAATGCAATACAAGCTCTCTCTCAGCATTTCTTAACTATGCTAGCAGCTAAAAATCCAGTCTTGGAACAAAGTCTTTTGTACAGATGTCAGTAGGTAGGTATGTAGGTATTATAACTGCATAACACAATGACACTGTGGCATAAGCCAATCCAAGTAGAACTCTAAGGCCACTAGAACATCTGGTAAGATAATAGGCAAGTCATCCAGATAATATTTGCAATAAAATTATCAAAATAATTCTAAAATAGATAGGCATTAGTATGTGTTAGTCTACATGTGGCTCACCATATACTGTATGTCCAACAAATGAAGGTTCTGACAGCTCTCACAGAGTCAGAGGTCGGTTAGGAATCGGATCTAGGAGCAGGTATGCAAGTGGCCCAGATCGGATCTGAGAACATCTGGTTTGGTCTGTTCACACTTACTGGTCTGTCACTTCAGCTTGGATGTGGATGCAGCTTTAATCATCAGATTAACTGTTCGACCAACTGTTCTCTAAAAACTAAAAAAAAGAAAACACTTACCCTTGAATTCATTTTCATTTCAGCGATGGTCACCACAGATTTTCCTCCAGGTGTGATATCAGTCTTGGCTTTACATTGCAAGTCTGCCACTTGGCTGGGATTCTGGTTGTAACAGCAAACAAGCCACTCTGCATCTATCAGCACAGCAGACCTACACATGAAGCCTTGACTGTGCACCGGAACAAAACGCAAGCAAAGTGACACGAGCCCTTTGACATTGTGAATCTCCAGGCTCTTTGACAAGGCTGGTCCATCGCCAGCACCAAGACTGTTACAATAAGACACGGCATTATCAGGTATGTATTGCAGTAATCAGCCTGTGGAGTGCAAGAGCATGGAAATTCATTGTCAAATACGTGATAAGAAAAAACTATGGTGCTAAAAACCAAGGTGCTGGCGTTCTCCTTGACTGTACTGAAGAAATGCTACAGCCTCTGAAATATAATCAACTCAGAACAATGCTTTTCCTCTTTTTGTTACGAAAGAGGGTGGGAAATATCTGTAAGTACATTTTCCACCTACGCTGTACTTCGTTACAGTCACTGGTAGCCTGAGTATTTCCAGTTTTTACATTAAGGAAATAAACACTGATGCGGTTGTGTGGTTAAACAGTTAGTCTGTATCAGGGTGAGGCAAAACGTGATGGAGGAAATGCTCCTGAGAAAATGCATGTTTGAAATAAATGAGTAATAAATGAAATAAATGTAATGAGTAAGCCTAAGTGATAGTAACGAGGTAAAAGAGGTAGTGAAAGTTAATCTGGACTTTATGACACAAGAGTAGAAGAGGTTAAGTTGCATGAAACAAAAAGAAATGAACGAATACAAGGAACACGAAATGCTGAACAGACACATGTGGGAATGTTTTAAAGTAAATTCAGTTCCAGGGAATCATCATGAAACAAAGGACAGCAAGGCCTGAATCAACAGAAATGGCCTGTACACGAAGCTGACACAGAGAAGGCCTGAGGGGTGTCGTGCTAAATCAGTGCAGAAACATTAACAACTGTGACTGAAAACATCTGCTGCTTTGATAAACAGTTAAATAGCCTGTGGACATAAGAACTGAAGGAGAGGGTTTAACTACAATTCCCAAGGTGCATTTCAGCAAAAAAATCCAACCACAAAGCTTCACATTCATTGATGTGAGTGGCTAATGGTGAGCTAAAGCTAAAGGAAACTTTTACAAAAGGTTAAATCTCAATTCCCCTAAGTGGTCGTTCCTTGCTGCTCGATCCTTGCTCAGTTCAGATGTTGTTCCAGTCCACCATCTTGAAGGATGTCCCAAAGGAGCAAGCAGGCTGCTGGAGGAGATAGGAGTGAGGATACATGAGACCATCCTTTGCAGAAGTCTTCTATGGTTCAATGGACCAACACATGTTGGTCCATAGAACCAACCAAGGTTGTGTTTTTAAACAGTCTGTATCAGGGTGAGGCAAAAGGTGATGGAGACCCTTTACCAGAAATCAGTTGGTGACTGGACACTTCAGGTGGATCGGAGGAAAGGATGTCTCATGTCTGTAAAAACATGTTTCCTCGATTCAGCTCAGGGTCTCTTTTCATTGCATTTTACATGGGCGGGACTAGGATGCAAGGAAAAGATGCAATTGAAGGAAACATGAATACAATTATGAGGATTGGGACTTACCCACAGCATGCATTTCTTTACTTTTCAATTCTGGGTCAATTTCAGGTTAGCGCAGTAACCATAGCAACATGAACTCCAAAACATTATTCTGTGCAGTGTGAGAAGCTAGCAGAGTGTTACCAGAGCAGAGATCAGTGACTCTATACAAAGTGATGCCATTCTCAGCCTTTGGAGCTGTTTGTTGGAAACAGACGGCCTCACGTTTCCTGAAGTTGACCGGGTGGCATGGTCAGTGTGGTGTTCTCAACACCATATTCACTGGCACCCTTAGTCTCTGGATGAGAATTGTGCAAAATAACAGAAAATTCTCATCTACATTGTTTATAGAAAAACTTGAATGGGAATAGAGAAGGAGGAAAAACATTTCTGGAATCACTGAGCCCTCAATATGCAGATTTCCAAGGCAAGAAAAAAAGAAATAATTTTTGACAAATCAATTCATGTCTGTCTCTTTCTCTGTGGTAGGCCACAGAGTTCCAGTGTAGGGCAGTGGGTGAGCTGCTGAACAGGCCGTTTCAGCAACTTGTGTCTCATTGTTAAGCACAACACAGTCACCAAAGGAATATTAAATAAAATCTGTATCTGTACAAACACCTTACGAAATACAAATTACTTTGGTTTTTTGACAGCTCAAACAAATTAATGTTAACTCCAAAATACGAGTGAATTTTAAACCTATTTCGAAGAACGAAAAAAAATGAACCGTTTTGAAAGAGGGTATAAATCAGTTGCCATAAAAGTTTTGTCCATCTGACCGGACTCCGGAAGTTGTCATGATCCGGGTCTGAACCATTTCCTATTTCCGCAAACACACCTCCGTGTAGTTTCCCCGTTTATCAATGCGGCGGGCGACTTATGTCTTTCGTTTCCTGGCTCCGTTTAATATCTTTAACAATTCTGACATTTATGAGTGACTGATTAGCATCATGACGGCCAACAGCCGCTGTTCCGTCGCGGAGCCTCCGGGCCTGGAGACGCAGCGGCGGGAGATCGAGTCTCTGCTACGGGAGTGTGAGCTCCGTGCTGGGGACAGTTGGTGAGAGTCCGCCCGCCCTCACACGCTCAGTGACATGCTAGCTGCTAGCATCACACGGCTAACGTTACCTAACAGTCCATAACAGGCTTGACGGCAGAATCGCTGAGTTTGTGTGTCAGCGTGGGTTTGCTGGGATAGTTGAACGGCTCGTTGTTGGGTGTGAGCCACTGTTAGCTCATGCTAACCAGGCAAACGGTGAATTCACAGTTAACCGAAGCCGCTAACGTTAGCTTGTCAACCAGCTGTGAAGAGACGTTCAGGGTCGCCTCGTAAACCTTCCACTTATGATTTTACCAAGGCTGGGTTTAACCAACTAGACACTTTTCAAAACTAAATTTACAAAGTGCGTTTAGGCCTAGTTTCCTTCTGTCGCGTAACAATAGCTTCACATTTGAAACCTATATAATCATGATTGCATTAGTGAAGTAACTGCAGCCTAACTAATCATTTTCGTTTTCTCTTGTTCTTACATTACTGACTAGTGTTTGCAATGTATCCGAATGCTTTAAATATTTAAGAGCTTTTAATGTTGTTCCCTTAAAAGCCATAGACATTATTAAAAGTCGCCAGCTGTAGCCAGTAATGTTACAAAATAGTTCTGTATGTGAGAGCAGGCGGTCTGGGGGTGTTGTACGACCTAAAGGTGGGGCTGCAGGAGGCTGTTTACTTTTTGTCGAGTTCCAGTCAGCAGTAGTAGACCTGTAGCAAACACGTGAATCCGCAAGTCTTGAAACCCAGTGAATTCAGTCAGGGTCGTGTCTCCAGAGCAGCGTCAGGTCTCCTCTGTTGAGGGAGGAAACCCCATTCTTCCAGACCAGATCCCCTCACTGTGTCCAACACGCTGTGTTGTCCCCATGAAGCCCTTCACTAACCCAGAGCTGCGGTCACGGGTCAGTTTACTGGTTAAATTAAATTAGGCGGTCTTGTGTCTTAAAAGTATTTTCCCGTCAAGATGTGGCTTTACGTAGCGCCCCTTCAGTGGTCGAGGCGAGGGCGAACAGCTCAATGGGGAAACCGATTTCGACACAACACCGACAATCTGGGAGAGTGCGATATTGCCAAAAATATCTCGGTATTTTCTGGTACGGTCGATATTTTTGCCCCCTTCAAAAATGTTTTATTGTACCAGCTCACTTTTGTTAATGGGATATTGATGATATTAGTGGAAACATTAAAGGAAAATGTCGTGTTTTTACTTAAAGCTGAAGCATCCCAGTACAATAATACACAAACATAGTAATAACTTTGTCGAATGATTCCGCTGGTGTGTGCTACCTTACCTCGGCTAGGTCCTGTGGTGGACGGCTGTCCATAGTCTCCATCTTCTGTGCACCAGTTCGGTGGCAGGTGGCGAAACAAGCTGACGCATTGTCGTTAACCGATTTACAACTTAGTCTGGCCGTTGCCTCTTTTGAGCAACACCCGTCTTCATCCAGTGAGGATGATCTGGATCTAGCCCCTATATCTAACTGCGAGGCTGCAGGAGTCTGTATTGTGTCTCCTGTGGCTGTTCTTCACTTATTTTTATCTTCAGTCGTGCGTGTCTATGCAGTTAGGCTAGCACGCGCAGTAGGCTTTCTTACCAGGATAAATGACGCAGGGAATGTGTGGACTGTCAAAGCGTTTTTTTTTTTAATTGTTTTCCTGCTCGAACCTCCTTAAAACAACAATAAAGACATTATGTCGCTGATACATAATGCACACCTCTAGCAGCGAAAACCACCATGTTCTGGTTCCACCTTTAATGTGAAGGGCTGATGCTTTTTTTTTTTGTCAGACATGAGAATCAGTCGATGTACCGGTCCGTCATGGTGAAGAAGGAGCTGAGCTGTAAGGCAAAGCTCTCGATGTACCGGTCGATCTACGTTCCGACTCTCACCTATGGTCATGAGCTTTGGGTCATGACTGAAAGGGCAAGATCCCGGATACAGGCGGCCGAAATGAGC